TTTTTAATCAAAGCCTAAAAAATATTTTCACAGAATCCGCTTCTGAATGCTCTTTCACACTATATGAAATGCTATAAACATGCTATAAATATGCAAATTTGGATTTTGAATACAAAGAGAAGGTGAGCCTTGCAGTTGTTAGGGAAGCTGCAACTAGGTAAGCCAATTGAGAGGAATGGAAACAAGATGTCCATAAAGTATTCCTGCAAGCTGTTTACCTGTTGAGGCATAATTGTTTATCTCGGTACCCTATCAAATACTTAGACACTTTCAGTCCTAAGCTTTTTATTATACTAATGAATTCCACGTTCCTGCTATTTTACAATTCAAATATATCTATTTGAATATATACATACATCTTCCATCACTGCACACCACTGAAAAGAACAAGGGGTAACGGACACAAACTAGAACAGAGGAAGTTCCATACTAACACAGAGACCAGCTTCTCCACACCGAGAGTGACAGAGCACTGGAGCAGGCCATCCAAAGTGGCTGTGTCATCTCCTCCTCTGGAGATACTCAAGAATATCTCCACACCTCACCATGCAACCTGCTGCAGGAAACCTGCTTTAGCAGGGGGTGGGATTGGATCATCTCCAGTGGTCCTTTCCAATCCCTACAACTCTGTGACCTGCTTACAACTACAGAGTGCTCAGTTTACAATTATGGAGATCAGAAGCAACCTTTTTTAAAGATTAGTGCAAGTATCTGCACACAGAGGACTTTTCAAGGCTTCAGTTGCTTCACGGCAAGTTCCCAAGCTTTGTTCTCTAACCATTTATTCATCTCAGGTATGGTCTTCCTTGAGCTCCAATTTTATCTGGGAATGAAATAACTACCAACTTCTCTACAATGTAAGCTGTATCTCTTCTAAATGGTAATTATTGAGTAATGAAAGATGATATAATCAACCATGCCTACAGCTCAGAAAAACAGCTGTAAATTCCTACTTCTCCATTTAGCTGACGGTTGAAGAAATTTCTTACATGTATCAACACAACACAACAACAAGGGAACCCACAACAAAGGGTGCTAAGAGGGAAAAGCAAACCAACCAAAAAATACCTTCACTGTAGGCTGGGACACTTTTAAGGCAGCCTTGCCAAGTACCAAGGATTATAGTAACATCTACTAGACCAAAATCTTTAGGGATAAGTAATTCTCTCTGAATAACAATACAGGAATAAATACAGATGAGTAGTAAGATCACCTATATCCTAAAGACAGGGAAGTGTAGTGATCCACTAAGACTGGGCCAGTTCCAATACCTGTGCACATGAAGACCTGCATGACCATGGTTATCAGGCAGGCAGGAAGAAGAAAACGGCTTCGTCTGCACTAGTGACTTCCAAACAAATGTCAAGACTCCACGGACAGACTGTCATTTCTATTGTCACACCACAGCAGCACCACTCTCAGCCTGTTGACCAGTCACATCCCACTCCTGCTACCCATCCAGTTCTAACCCTCACGTGCACAGGACTCCAAAATACTGTACAAGGCAATACAAGCCCAAGTTGTCTTGCATGCTACAGCCCAGCAGTACTGGAGAACATGACAATAGACTTACACCTTCATTGCATTCGTGCTCTCCAGAAATACCCTGTCAGGCAATACTAGCTTTACCAGCATCCAAGCAGACTTGTGAAGTCAGTACCAACTGGGTATGCATAGCAGACACTACACAGCACGCAAGAATGAACGGAGCATTCTGTACTCCCTAGGAACACTTCAGTAGACATCAACACCAAAAGAGCAGGCTCAGAGGCAGAAAACGCTCTGTGTTTATTTTAACATCAACTACAAACATCGTGCTGACAGCAAATAGAGGGAATTGACACTAATCTTACAAAGCAAGAACTTAACCTGTAAAGAGAAACTCGGTAATCAAAGAAAGCTGTGCTGGCAGTTATTTTTTAATGAACCCAAATCCCCTCCTAAGAATGCCCACAGTGGGGCCCTACTTGACTTTCACCCATTACCACGCAACTGAGACTTAGTAAACTACGCTCATCGTTAACAAGGTGTAAAACTACCAACTGGGAGCAGACATCAAACAAGACAACTCTCAAAGGAGTCTCACACTCCCTTTGATTTACATATTTCAGTGAACTTCTATATTCTCCAGCTGCTCAATTGTTTGTATGAATACATATTGATTTCTCACATGGAACGTCAACTAATACTTAAGGAAATCTTTCATTCATTTTAGTAAAGGAAATTTATTTCATTTCAACAACACACAAGACCAATTATTACACTGGTTTCTTTACCACTCATGCTGAAAAAGCTTTGAACGTAACTGTGTACTTCAACAGTTCAAACTGTACTTGCTGTGCCATTTAAAACTCAGTAAGCACAATGGCAGATTTTGTTCTTAATTTAACCCTATTTCTGAAAATCACCTACACACTAAATATTTTACTGTAGAAAAAAATAATTCACTTGAAATCAGGCGGGTGAACAACGTTAAGATTTTTGTTAATACATGAGAAATATTACAGTCAACTTTATTTCCTTTTACTCTTCCAGTGCTAGCTGCACAGCATCACTAACACTTTCAGGCCTTGTTGCACCATCTTCTTCCTCATCTTCTCACTGGAGGCACATTTCTGGCTTTAAGTAATTTTTGACACCCAGGGCTGGAAAAAAAAGCAAGCAGTTAGCAAACATTACCTTCTCTTATTTCTTAACAGCTGCAAGGACAAACGCTGTCGAGCTAAATTGCACATAGATAGCTTTTCCTCTATCACAAAAAGCAAATAATACAAGAAATACCTACTTCTGTTTTATTACTTTACGTTGTCAGTTGAGCTTTTTCCTGCTGAAGTAGTATGATCCCAGAGCTGGAGCAACTGCTCTCCAATTAGCGGGTCTAGCTCCTAGAAATAAGCAGAGAATTAGAGAAGTCTGTTCTGTATTAAACTACCTGCAACAAGACAGATAAAGGCGATTACTTCCAGTTTCTCTGGAAGAACTCATTCTCTTTGCTGTTGAGACATACATTGGAACCTCCCTGCACAAGATTTTGATTCTTTTAAATAGGGCTGAAAGAAGACTAAACATCAGCCCAGTTGGTTCAAGCTTTCTTTCCATCCACGGTAAGACATCATTTTTTAAGAAGACAATTCTCACTGAACAGACCACCACTACACACAAGAACATCTGAACCACATATCCTGTGCCTTTCTAAAAACAAAGATTATTATTCTCTCTATTCTAAGCTTAATTCAGTAAAGTGCAAACAAGTGATAGGTTTCCTCTTTGTAGAATCACGGCCATAAATAGAGAACAGTTGTGTAAAGATCCTTAAGACTCTTTCGGTCTGAAGAACTATTTGCCATAGAATCACAGAATCAACTGATCAGGTTGGAAAAGACCTTCAAGATCATCAAGTCCAACCATATTACTCTAACAACCTTCCCCTAAATCATGTCCCTGAGCACCACATCCAAACGGTTCTTGAATACATTCATGCATGGTGACACAACCACCTCCCTGGAGCCTATTCCAGTGCTTAACAACCCTTTCTGTAAACAAGTTTTTCTTCATATCCACTTAAACCTCCACTGGCACAACTTGAGGCCATTTCCCCTCAGCCTGTCTCCTGTCACCAGTGAGAAGACACCAACCCCACTTTCGCTGCAGTCACCTTTCAGATATTGGAAGAGAGCAGTAAGGTCTCCTCTCAGCCTCCTTTTCCCCAGAGTAAACAGCCCCAGCTCCTTCATCTCTCCTCACAGGCCATATTCTCCAAGCCCTTCACAAGCCTTGCTGCTCTTCTTTGGACCTGCTCCAGCACCTCCATGTCCTTTCTGTGCTGAGATGCCAAAACTGAACACAGTACTCGAGGTGGGGCCTCACCAGTGCTGAGCACAGGGGCACGACGACTTCCCTACTCCTGATCACCACGCCATTTCTCATACAGGCCAGGATGCCATCGGCCTTCTTGGCCACCAGGGCACAGGTGGCTCATATTCAGCTCACTGTCCATCGGTACACCAAGGTCCCTTTCCATCAGGCAGCTTTCCAGCCTTTCCTCCCCAAGCCTGTATCGCTAAAGACATCCTAGCAAATCTCTGGAACAAAAACTGAAACACAAAAGGAAAAACACAGTTTTAAACTGTGGAATTCAATAATGATTGCACTGAAGACTAAGCATTCAAATTACTTTTAGGGTGATCTCACTATATCCCTCAAGCAGCTGGATGTATAAAAATGTTTAATCTAGAAAAACCAAAAGTATCTTTCTTTTTTCCTCTTCAAAGATGCTCTCTGAAATCTGACCACGAGCAAAGTCTATTAGTCACTTGTGACTACACTGAAAGACTCAGCAAAGTTTTACATGTCATAAAAACATCAACAATAACACCGTATTACATAACAGTCCATTAGCTATTCTGTTAAGTTGTAGATGTTATTGCATTTTCATTCCCACCTTCTGTTAAATTTTCACACAGAATTAATACAAGGTAGCTGTTTGTCAAACACAGAAGTCAGAGCTGCTTTGGTTTTCTTTTTCTCCAAAGAACAGGGAATAAATTACAAAAAAGACAAACATTCAGAGAGTATAAAAAAGGAAACAAACAAGATTTCTTCCCCTACTTATCTCCTTTCTCCAAAAACAAAAAAATCAAAACTACAACAACGAATCGCATCCAGCTCATCTACCTATTCTGCCGTCTTTTCTGCAAGTCATAATGCTGTACTCTCCCTGGACTCCTCAGTTAGCAGCACGCACTACCATTTGAAGACACTGAATCGGATTCACGTGGCAAGGTTTTGGTAGCAGGGGTCTCTGCATGGAAGCTTCGGCAAGCAGAATTAAGCAGTGTCCCATGTGAGAGCAGAACCACCTCCAACTGCACCAAAAGGGATACGCTGCTGCCGGAGCTGAGCCACAGGAGACACCAGCTGTGCTCTGAGACAATCAGAGTTAAGAGAGGGAAAACGACTGCACAACAGCAGCTAAGAGAGGAGTGAGAAATGGGAGAGAAGCAGCCCTGCAGGCCCTGAGACCTGTGCAAGAGAAGGGGAGGAGGCGCTCCAGACATAGAACCGAAGCTCTACGCAGCCCAGGAAAGGCCCACAAATCAGATTCACAGAGGCTGGGAGGGACCTCAGGGGATCATTTAGTCCAACCCTTCTCCTAAAGCAGGTTCCCTAGAGTATGTTACACAGGAAAGTATCCACGCTAGTCTCAAACACCTCCAGAGAACTCGACACAACTTCTCTCATTCCAGTGAGAACAGCTCATTCCAATGCTCTGTCAATCCTAAGAGCAAAGTTCTTTCTCATGTTCAGATGGAACTTTGTGTTCCAGCTTGTGCCCATCACCCCTTGCCCAGTCACTGGCCACCAAAAATAAGAGCCTGGCCTCCATCTACTTGACGTCCACCCTTTAGATATTTTTAAGCACTAGTAAGATCCCTCCTCATCTTTTCCAGGTTGGTATCTCAGGTCTCTCAGTCTTACCTCATGCAAGAAATGCTCCAGGCCCCTCATCATCTCTGTGGCCATCCATTGGATACTCTCTAAAAGTTCCTTGAACCAAGGAGTCCAAATGTAACCAAAATGCAGGACTGGGCACTGGATCTTGTTACAAGGTCATACAGCTGGCCTAAGCCCATTGATCCAGCCCATCCAGATCCCTCTGTAGTGCTTTCCTGCACCCAGGCACATCAACATTTTCTCCCAACCTGCTGTCATCTGCAAACTCACTGAGGTGTTACTCAATCCCTCACCCAAATCATCAAAGACATTAAGCAAGGCCAGGTCCAATGCTGACGCCTGCAAAACACCACTAGTAACCAGGAGGATTTAACCTCCATGAGCTGGGCCCAGCCATCCAGCCAGGTTTTTAGACAGTGTACCTGTTCAAGCCATGGGCTGCTGTCTTCTCCAAGAGAATACTGGGAGAAACAGGTCAAAGGCTTTACGCACGTCTAAGCAGACTACGTCCACAGGCCTCATGATGAGGACGGTCAAGTGGGACTTGCCTTTCATGAACCCATGCTGACTAGGCCTGATCCTCTGCTTGTCCTGCATATGCTGTGTGATTGTACTCAAGATAATCTATTCCACGACGTTCCCTGGTACAGAGGTCAAGGTGAAAGGCCTGGAGTTGCCCAGCTCCTTCTCCTTTCCCCTTTTTGAAGATGAACTGACAGTGGCTTTCTTCCATTCCACAGACACCTTCCCCATGTTCCAATACCTCTCAAAGATGATAGAGTGGCTGGGCAATCACTGTTTCCAGCTCCCTTTGAACTCATGGGTGCATCCCATTGGGACACACGGATTTGTGGGCGCTGAGTTTCCCTCGCTGATCTCTGCCTGACCCTCCTTATCTACCAGCATTAAATCACCAGACACGCAGTTGAAACAGATTTAGCTCAAGACAGACGTCAGTGGAAATTAGTGGATGGAATGGAAATTTTTTAAAAAAGAGAGACTTGATGCAGTAAAACATTAACTGCAATGTAAATTTCAAATTCTCATGAATGTGAAAAATGGAGGTAAGGTAACATCAACCACTGACACTCCAGATTTCAGCATCTCTTTCTTTCCATTTCCTTTCTGGAGGAGAGCACCAACACAGCAGATCATTTTCAGTACCAAATAGCACGCCAACATTCCTTTCCAACAGTACATCTGCTTTGGCCAAATCATTACATGCCATCACTATGACAGCTGCATTCACCTGGACTTGTTCATTAGACTAGCTTTTATGAACAGTTTTGTGGGAAAAAGATATAGTAGGCTTTTGCAAACTGAACGGGGAAAGTTCAGTTTAGCCCTTTTGACAATGCAGCTGATACACAGATTCACCCAACCACACCAGGTCTTTAACTTCCAATCAGGTTCTATGTTGACAAGTATCTCTCTAAACTAGAATTCACCAAGCAAAATATTACTGCGTACCCTTCAAAGGTCATGAAGACCAATCCTCTGACCTAAACATTTGTGAAGGCAAGACAAAGCTGCTCAAGAATCATAATACAACTTCCTAGCCTTCTAGGTTTCAGAAATCACTGCTAAGGCATGAGAGATTTCATCCAAGTCTGTCCTACTGTGAGTCACTTATCAGTCTCTCAGAACTGCCAATGCATTGTAGCTGCTTGTTCACTTACAACGTTAGCTTTTGACTGCAAAGGTAACTGTAGCAATCCTTCAGCTTTTTCGTTTGTTTCTTTTTAATGGATTAATGTAGCTAACTCATTAAAAACAACCTGACAGATGCCTGAATGCCATTCCGTCTTCACTACTTGAGCAATAAGGTCAAGTTACCTGAGAAGGCACATTACAGACATGAATGAAGAACACTTTTCTTAGCCATCACATTCATTTGCTTTTACACTTTACTAACTAGAAAGTCAAAAACCCTAAGTAAAAATCTTCACACTGGAGTCATCTCTGCTGCACTCCCCTCATAACTGGTATTAAGTAAGGACAAAGTAAGAACTCACCTGAAAGCAGCCAGATCCTTGAACAGAAAATAAAGTAGACCAAGCTGCTCTCCCAAAAAGCTCTGCTTGGTTTTCGTTCATTACTTGGCGTAACAGACTGTACACCTTTCTGTTGAGAAATATCAAGGTTTTGCAGATTGCTGCTTCTCATTATAAAGCAGCAAACTAGCAGACTTAAGTCTTGGTGAAGTTTTGGAACACCAGAAAAATTCACTTATGATGAACTTTTAGTTTTCAACTCTTACAACATAAGGACAAATCTTTTCACTGTATTCCTGCTCTCCACCCCCAGACTGTATTACAAACACGGAACTGCTGAGTTTGTTCTGCATGGATTGGCTTTTAATTGCATTCTGTATGGATTGCCTTTTAAATGCATTTCAGATCTATTCTACATTTTCGAAGCTCCTTTCAAAACAAGTATTCTTGAGAAGCAGCAAACAAGCAAGAAAGAAGACGACTCAGTAGCCTAGTGATTAACTTAAACGCTTTGATGTTTGACACACCTTGTGTCCTTCTAGAAATCAATCCTTCCCAACTGTTGCCTCAAGTACTTCAGGAAACACCCATTCTCTTCCACAGTGACTAAATTTTCAAACGGATAGACTTCAAAATTCCTAAGCCCTCCAATGACACTGTGTCAATACCTAGAGGTTTAGAATAGGTTTACTTCTTAGTGATTGGTTTACTATCACTTTGGTTGACCATCTCAACATACTGGGAGAATTACCGCAGCAGCCTCACCACGAACCACACGCTTTGTTGAAGTGTTTGTCGTTCAAAGAGAAAACATTACAAGAAAAACAAATTAAAGGAGCAAAAATAAGGTGGGTAACAAAATGAAAAAGAAGAGAATCAGTATCTTGGTATCTGCTACTACAGGAACAGGAGGCAGAAATCAAAGCAAAAACAATGCATTCAGAATTACCACATATATCTTCAGATCTGTATTATGGACTAGCTCAGAAGAAGAATCTAGAACACCTTCTCAGCTTATTATATACAGTTTTAGAACAACTCTTCTGCTTTGGATAGCTTTACCTCTGATTTCCTATTTCGCATAGACTTGACTTCAGCAGTGTACAAAAAAATAATTTAACTGTATCTAACTAGCATAATGAGGATATTTAACCTAGGTTGAAAGCTGCAAGAAAAAAAAAGTGCTATGCAGCTGTTAAAAGTCAAAACACAAAGATCTTAATTTATCCATGTAATGCACAGCACTATTGAAAGTTACCAGTGCATTTATTTCTGAAATTCAGAGTGGATATCAAAGTGGGTAGTTTATGAATGCTACCTTTCCAGACATTGGAGAAGGACTGGCACGTGGGCTAGGACAGGAACTGCTGCCTGTAGATTTCACTGATGACTGATCTGACTTCTCATCTGATGTTCGTTTGGAAGACAAAATGTTTTTCTCTTTGTATCTCCTTGGCTGATGAAATGCTGGATGTGCAGACTTCCTCAGAACTCTAAACGTAGAGGTTGGTACCAAATGGTGTTAATATACAAGGGTTTGGCAAGCAATCACAGAAATACTAAGGTATACACAGTACTGTATCACATAACTACATGCATTACAGAAATTACAAACTACATCAAACACTTCAAATCTAAGAAATGCATACTGCTCATCACGCATCAGTTTACAATGCTAAACTTTCTGCTACTACTTTTACTTACTGTGATCTCTCTGAGATCACAATTCAGGAACGCTCTCACCTGTACTGTCATACAGCAGGCACACACATGGAACTTTCATCAGTGAAATCATAAGTTTTCAGAAGCTTACTTTTCAGCATTAGAGGAATCAACAGATAATTCATTTTCTGCTGAGGTGCTGGCTGACCTCCAGGTAGGTGCTGAAGGAAGTTCATTGTAAGAAACAGGCCTTGGCCTCTGACCAACTCCTGAAGGCTGCAGCAATCCCGCAAACTGTTCTTCAGTACTTAAAACAGATACAATTGTTCTTATAGTTATTTCATCAGCTTGAGACCAAGGTTTAGAAGGAGCTCTCATACGGCGCAGAAGTAAGTTATGCCACTTGAGTTTGAGCTGCATCAGCAAACCAGCAACCTGTCATGAATACAAACTGTTAAACACTAATGAAAGTTAGATTGCACAGGTATACACTCTCTTATCAGGCAGCATCTGGTATTCTACGATGAACAGAGTGCAAGCCAAAGGGCCATACTCAACCACCAGTAAAGCTGGAAGAAAAAAAAAGATTTAAAGAAAGCTACTCAGTTCCTATACATGGAAGAAAAAAGGTGCTTCAAGGTCATTACTAGAACTTTCCATTTCAATCAGCTCTACGAGAAATTCAAAGTTATACAGTAAACTTACAGAACTTATTTTTCACTTTCACTTTTATCCTGTAGGAATACAGACTGACAGGGAGAAAAGAAAGTATTACACGATTTTGAAGGAAGAGCTTAATTTCTAAGGGAGATCATTTTCTTATGCATAATAATTCAAATGACAATACATTTTAGAAGACCAGAATTTAACTTCCATATTATCTAAAAACTGTTCTGAACTCTTTGGCAAGATAGCGTTACTACCGCATCTGAATGCTGAATGTTTCCTAACCCAGTCTTAACTCCACCTTCTAAAGTATTCAGAGCTTCTCTGAACATTACTTACTTCAGAGTCCAATTTGAAATGGAGCCATTCATCTAGCTTCAGTAGTGCCACATTGGATCTTTCGTCCTCCATCCCACTATCGCTGTCATCATTAGCTACCCTATTTCCTGAATCAAACAGATATAAAACGAGCATTCACATTTCCATACAATCGTCATCAGATGTGCACTATTCATAGCATAATGCATGAAATAACACAGTTTTCCTTCTACATTAAAAATATTTTAAAATTACATTTATTTGCTGCAAATACATCTCAGTAACAAGTCTGCTCGTCTGCATTTGCTTCAGCAGAACTCCAGTACCCAGAACTCCTGAGGTCCTGTTACGTGAGCACCCACATTCACGACACAAGCCACGTAACCATTTGTTGATATTGATGAAGGTTATAACACAAACTTCTGGCTTGAAGCTCTTCGCAAAAGTCACACACTGCTGTATGCTTTATTTCCTAGGAAAGCAGCAGACCTAAATAATCATAAATGTCTCTCTGTATATATACATACTACTAAAATGGAGTCTCGTTTCTATAAGTAATTCTTGATTTCTATTAAAAAACTATTCCTTAAGGGTCTTGCTCCTTGGCTATCACAAGAAAGATTAAAACTCTCTCTTCTTTATACTCAAATAGAAGTTCTAGGGAACAGATGGCGAAATAGATGAACTTCTATACCATCAAACTTAAATGAAAAGGATAAATGAAAATTTCTTTGTACTTCATTTCTTCTTGCTAATTGTCATTAAAAGCAGAACATAACTGCTAACCTTTGAAATGCATTTTCCAGCTAGAAGCAATACAAATATTCTGCTATATTGTTTCTAAATTGCTATTTAGTTTAAATAAACTGGCTCAAACTATCAAATGAAATGGTCTGCGGAGGAAGAAAGTGTGTACATCACAATTTTCAGTGCCAATGCTGACAACAGACATTTCATAATATCATTTGCATGCCTTATTTCATTACTAACTATATTATAATTTGTGAGACTTCAGGACTACGTAACTACAACTTAAGGATATTAATCTGTTCCATTCATACCTATGAATTTAAGTAATTTAATGTAACCATACTGGCTTTCCTTTCTAACAGAACAATCAATACTGGTTGCTACAGAAATACTACATAAGAAAGCTGTAAAGTATTCTCAGAATTTTACACCTAACATCAAACTAAGCACTACCACATCAAAGTGTTCTCTGTGCACACTACTGCCATTTCCACCATCTCAAACAAGTTCTTCTGAGGTGGAACAAAGGCTTAATGCTACCTTGAAGTTAAAGCCCATGTTGGTCCTACCTCCACAGCTGACGCGACCAACTTCTGCTAGTATATTTACCACCTAAATTTTAAGTACTGTTGAGGGAAGAGGAGGAGAGCAAGAAAAACAGAGCAGAAACAGAGTAACTACTAGCATCTTCTACAACCTAGGGACAACTACCACAGACACAGTTCAGAAAAGCTTGTTCTAAAGCTTGTTACTTAACTTATCTTGGGAAAGTGTAGATTTATACCACTGCGTGCATCCACCCTCTTAGGGTTTATAAAGAGGCCAATACCATTTCACACCAAGTCTAGATCCACCCTGTTAACCCACTACACCAAAGCCTATGCAAATCAAGGAAGCAGTGGTCCTACTCACCCACCGTCAGCATTTCTGGTAAATTAACTTCAGGAATTAAAACAGTGGCAGACTTTCTAATTATGAAAATCAAGTTTTCTTAAGCTGAACGTGAAGGGTTCAGAGCTGCTTTGGATGTGGTTGGTAGCAAAGCACAGCACCTTCTGGCACCCTTACTGCCCGTATGGGGCTGGATGTTCAGAGGGAGGGTCCCCTCATGCAACTGATGCTATGTGGATTTAAGTGGATCATAGTGATACACAACAGGCTCAAACAAGGATTTCTAGGAATCTCAAAATCATAGAAGCACAGAATCACAAGGTTGGAAACGATCCATAAGATCATCTAGTCCAACTGTCTTCTCGTTACCACTGCTACCACAAGCACTAAACCATATCTAATAGCTCCTCATTCAGGCACCTCTTGAACACTGCCAGGGACGGCGACTCCACCACCTCCCTGGGCAGCCATTCCAGTGCCTGACCACTCTCTGAGACAAAAAGTTTGTCCTAATTCCAAGCAAAACCTCCTCTGGTACAACTTGAAACCATTTCCCCGGGTCCTGTTCATTGCCTGGGAGAAGAGGCCCCTCCCCATTGCACTGTGCAAAGGCCTTGCTCAAGTCCAGGTAGACTACACTGGTGGACACTGGAAGGACAACTGAAGTAGTCATTCCATCACAGAAGGCCATCAGAACGCTTAGGCATGATCTGCCCTTCGTGAAGCTGGGCTGTCTGTCTCACTTTATCTCCTCATCTCACATGGGCCATAACATCTCCTTCCACGAGGGTGTGCTCTTTGCCAGGCCCACATTCCTCAAGGTCTCAAACTTGACCAGGGCACTGTCACTGCAACCCAGGCTGCCTCCAATCTTAACCTCTTTAATGATCTCTTCTACACTGTTGAGCACCAGGCCCAGAAACATTTCCCCTCTGGTGGGTCTATCCAACACCTGCAACAAGAAGCTTATCATCAATGGACCCCAGGAATCTCCCGAATCACGTGCAGTTTGGCTGTGTTGCTTCCCAGCAGATATCTGGGTGGTTCAAGTCCTCCACCAGGATGACAGCCTGTGAGCACAACGCCTCAAGGCTGAAGTGAAAAAGCCTTGTCAGCAGGCTCTCCGTGATCAGATGTGGCCTGTAACAGACCCCAACCACCACACGTTTTTTACTGGACGAGTCCCTCTTTGTAACCCACAAGCTCTCAAACTTGTTATTACTGTTTCTCAGAGGCAGCTCTTCACAGTCTAGCCACTTCTTAACAACAGAGGGAAACTCATCTGTCCTACTTGGTCTTTCCTTTGTGAAAAGCTTAGAGCCCTTAATCATAGTGTTCCAGTTACACGAGCTATCCCATCGTGTTTCTGTGATAGCAGTGAGATCACAGTTTTACAATTGCACCACCATTTCCAATTCCTCCTGCTTATTCAACACTGTATACATTGGTACAGAGGCACTTCAGCTGGGCTTCTAGGCATATTACCTTCTTGAAGGAGGCCTCCAAACAACCTGTGAGACAAATCTGAAGTTCTTGCTCCACTGCTTCCCTAAGCAGCAGCATTCCATAACTGCCCCCCCATTTACATCATAAACCTTCAAATCTTAGAGGAAGATATTCTGTAAATCTACTTCTCTACTACTCATAACACAACATGATGCTGAACTGTTCTCAGATCAGTGTAACTTACAAGTAATTATTCCAATATTATCTGGGACTTAATAATGCCTGTGTTCAACATTTTTTCTGGTTAACTAATCTCAGACAAATGAAAGCAAACCTGCTTCTGTCCAGTACAGACATAAGTGGTTTAATACGGTATGTTTTCGTACGTATTACAGCAGTAAGAGAAGGAGATCTCCTGAGGTCATTCTTCAGTAGCATTGTATGAGGGATGCCTCAGACTTCACCTTAACAGGTAGAACGTGTCTAAGCAATCAGTTACAACTCAAGTTAGAAATATGGGGAAGATGAAACAATATTTGATTAAAAAGTAATTTTTCAGAACGGAGGACCAGTAACAGAAAGAAAGCGTAACAGGGTAATTGCTGTTTATAATCAATTAGCATCTGCAAAGAAATCAGCCCTGTAATGAGAACCCCAAGAAAAAAAAAAATCACCGTAGACTAAGAATACAGATTCCAATCCTTGTCATATGTTTCATAATCTTTACCTACAGCAGCATGTAAGGCCAAGATGGTGGTTACTTCTGATAGTATAATAAAGAATTAAATGCCTAAACAGTTACATTCAAAATTAGAAAGATGTAGCACTCAATGTTCTTTGAAAAATCACACACATTTAGAAGATTACTTGCCTGTGCCTGAGGCACTACTTACAGAACCAGAAAACTATTCTTCAACAGCTACAGGTACCGTGGCTTTGTAGCTTTAAGAATTCACTAACACATGTATTGCATATTCTTGTGAAAGAAGCCTTCTATGCCACATACTGCTGTATATCCAACTGAAACATTCCAAATCCAAAACCCCATATACCTCGAAAGGACAAAGGCTCTTCCAAAGCATTATGTGGTAACCTAGCTGGTCCAGAGAAGAGTGCCACAGTGACAGGTGTTACAACTGAACAACATCTGATATTTGCTATCCTGCGAGCTCTTGTCATTTCATCATATATAAGCCAGTCAGTAGGGAGTGCCTGAACAGCTGCAGCTTGCCCATTTGATGGCGGAATCTGCACAAGAGCAACCGAGAGACTAGGCTGTTTTAACTTCTATTTGTAATTAAAATAAATGTAAACATGTTTATTATTTTAAACGTACAAATATGTGAACAGATACACACAGAAAAACTCAACCGCACTTCAGAACAACATTCAAACATCTGGGAAGCTAAACCTTGCTTCTCCATGTATCTAGAAATTTGAGCTTCAGAGCAGAACTTCTTGCTACTATCAGCAGAGATTACTGTACCTCCAGAACAGGTTCCTAACAAGGCTGCTTGTTTTTTTTTTATGCCATATTATCTTGTCCCAATAGAAGGATTAAGTGAATTAAATTCTGGTGAAAAAACAGTGCTCTTAAGCCAGTGCTTTATTTTATCATCCCGGCAGGAAAAGCATTTTTTAAAATCACAGTGTCTAAAAACAGGCACACGCACGATTCTTTAAAGTACTGACGAACTTAGAGGCACGTTTCTAAAACTTCACTTTGACAGAATATTTTTGAATCTGCAGTTCATAAAAACGAGAGTAATATTTATTACCTTTTTGTACTGAGCCTGGCTAAGAACAGACGTAGGATGAAATCGCACTTTCTTCTCTTCTGGGCCTGTCAAAACCAGGTTTTCCCTGTCCACATGCACAAGATTGGGGTACATCCCAGCCACTAAGGCAGCTTTAACCACAGCCCAGTTTTCAGAGTTAGCATTAACATCTCTAATATCAGCACTTCCTCTGGCTCTGACAAAACCTGAAGAGGACACAGAAATTACACTGGATTGCTTATTCATATTCCTGTTTCTGAAAAGGAATTCGAGACAAAGGTGAAATAAACTATGCATTGGCTGCATTTTTCAGACTGCCAATTTTAACAGCACCAAGAAAAAAAATACTGGAAATACTTCTTGATGTTTCATGCTAACACAAAACGTAATTCATTCTTACAGAAATAAATTAATAGGACATAAAAATTCAAGGCAACATTTCACATACGAGTCATACCAGATTTCTTACGAAAACCAGTGAAATGAGGACATATGAGGGCATTTTCACTTAGGTTAGCATCTAATTCTGTTATCAGCTACAGTTCCTCACTCTAGCATCTTCACCACACTCAGAAAGTACATGTCCATTTCACATTAGGAAAGGAAAACAAAATCAGTGAATACTATTCCTGTCACAATCTATATACACTTGTACTAGACTGAATTCAAAAACTATGTTAAGAAAAATCTGAGCTTCTTACCTGAAGCTCTAAGCTGACCAAGTAACTGAGTTCTAATCCCTGTGATGATTTCCATTGTAGCTTGAGAAAGAAAGTTTTTTTCACAGAAGACCCTCTCCCAGCCGTCACGTCGTGCCTTCTGCCATGCCTACAAAGAGTATTTTTCAGCTAAACAAATCTATAGACAAATTTGAAAATAAGAAAATGCACTTAAATACAGTGACATATGTTAATAAAAAGAGGCCAAAAACAATTCTGAAACTGAAATGTATTAAACCATTTCTCTAGTCAATTACTAAATTTTGTTTACCCAATTCTCTACATTAACTTAATCTATCTCCTACATCTCTCTATCTCTATGTTGTTTTCTATCCTGTCAAAATGGTAATGGTTGAAACTTAGGTTAAAAAATATAAAACTGAACAGCTGAATACAATGTTTTCTTACAACATTACTAATTAGTTCAAGACAGTAAAGCTGCTACACAAAAAGAACCTTTATTCTCTAAGGACTCCCTCTAGTCAATCATTTCACATCCAATGTTATACCACTTCCTTATTACATAAGCTATTATTGGTACCCTTTCTGAAGATGGAACAATACCTGGAAAGCCCTGAGGAGCACCATATGGTCACTAAATGTTCCTGCAGCTAAACGTTTTCTGCACAGCATAGCTGCACGCTTTTGAGAGGCCACCATAGGTAGAACAAAAGGCTCTCGATACGCGAGAGTGCAAGCAATAGTGAGAATGGGATCCAGGCACTTCAAAACAACAGCACACAGCACCATTTTACCAAGGTGTGGCTCTACTGGTAATTCGGCAAGATGATAACCAAGTTCAGTGAGGTCTTCCCAAACATCCATGGCATCTATTTTCTGATAACAAAACAGTAAGTGGGGGGTGGGGCAGAGAAGAGCATAGACAAAAATAATATACAGCGAAAATAGAAAAGATGTGAATACAAGACATTAAATAGACTTGCTCTGACTACTAAGAACGTACGCCAAACTCTGTGTGAAGTTTGAGACCACGTTCTTAAGCATTCTTTTCCCTTAACACGAAAACATGACAAAAATGAAAACAGAACAAAAACACAAAGCATCCTTCAGTAACTAAACAGTCTCAAGAAACACAAAACTCAGTAACACATGTTGCCACACCAAAAGCACAGAAGCAAATACGATTCCATCTAGATCTGTACCTATGCTGACCTTGAGCATTTGTATGGCGTTCCTCACAATTAAAGCTGGTGGAGGATCAGGAGCTTTCATGAGAAAGTCAACAACTGGGCAATTAACTGGAGCCAGTAGTTTTGTGTGCAAACAAAGCTCCTACAAGTTAAAAATCCAAAGTTAAGATTACACAAAAAAACTCCTGCTGTGACTGATAACATGGCTAGACACTAACAACTACACTGAAGTTGTAATTTATAAGAGAACACATGCCTGAAGCGGCATTCTTTGAAGTTCCGGAGTCTGAAATTCCAACATATTCTGAAATCGGAGCTTGCTGAAGAGATGGAAGCAGACTCCAGGCCGACAGCGCCCAGCTCTTGAACATAAAATATGGTAAGCTATTAATTATAACATCTTTTAAACTAAAGGAGGAATGCAAAATATCACAAAAAACAATGAACTCCCCCATAAAACATACATATACATGCAAAAACATCCCACAGATATGGAACAGAAGTGTACAAGCATATGTAACAGAAAGACAAAGTTGTCATTTAGCCAAATGTGAAGCGAGAGACTTCTAGAACATGAACCACTTTTGATACGACAGAAATTTATTGTGATTTTACCCCAACACTGGAAGATCTAGAAAAACAAAAAATAAGTTAAGCAAGCGCTCCCTGAGCATCCAAAGTGTTTTGTTGTTTTTTGTTTCTCTGGTTGTTTGGGGTTTTTTTGTTTGTTTTGCAAGTTCAAGGTCAATCTGAATCACATTGTTTTTGCTATAAGGAATATCTTCATTTCTTCCTCTGGCAAAACCCTTCAACATGCCCCAAAGAACCAGGAGTCAGTCCAGAGTAAGAAGTAGAACAAGGGCTGAACAAATGAGCGAGGGGACAAACAGCAAACACAGGCAGAACGAAATTCCAGCAGACTCATACCAATGCTGTAGCAGCAAACACAGTCCCCCAGGACCCACTATTGCACTTAGCCCTCACCCAGCACTGGGAAGAACAGAAGTCGGGAATTTATTTGACAAAGGAATGTAGGAATTACTGTTCAATGTCTCTTCTAATAGAGCGATGAAGCAGTATGGAAAACTTGTAACAGGCCTTCCTTTTCCCACAGTAAAGTAAGTTGTGTAAAATCCATAGGGCCCAGTGGGCGCTGGCAGTACTGAGGTGAAAGGAGAACAAATTCCTCCACGGAAGAAAAACGAACCTACTGTAAAGCTTTGGGAATTTCCCAAGTCACATTTCTATCAGGAAATTACTCTAAGGAAGTATATGCTGACCCTTGCTTTTCTTGCAGAGAATTAATACTGGCCACTGTCAAACACTACATCGGACCAGAATAATACTGTTATCCAGCACTGCTCCTCTTACATTCAGTACTTCATTCTCAGTGTACAGGGTAGCGGATGCTTGCAAGATAAAAATACGTACAAAGTATTTATTACCTCCCTCTTCTCTGGATAGCACTGGCTTTTGAAATCCACACAGTTCTTAACATTGTAACACAACTCAGAGCATCAAAAGACTTCTAAAAAAGAAAAACAAGGAAATAAAATCAAGATTTACTAGGGTACATGAAAGAACAATTACTAATGGCTTACACTGACAACAATGTTCTCCTCAAACCAATACTAAGCACCACTGACTTCTGGAACACAGTTACATTCTAAAGTACTTTGTTGTAGGTGAATTTACACCACCTCTTTCACAACATCTTTCGGTACAGTTTTCTACATCGAAAACTTTCTAGGTTAAGTCAAGAAATGATGAGTTGTGCTTTGCACCATAACAGAAAGCAAAAATACGCTATTATGCACAATGAAATTTTGCTCATTTCCTCACCTGGAAATTATGTCCTAGTTTTCCTGCATTTGGTGCAGAAACACAAAATACTTGTATTAATATAAGAACTTGGTTGATCTACTGCGGGTATATCCCACAAAATCTACTCCATACACTGAGCTTTGAACTGTACTTCAATTATGTTATCTATGTTTATTTCACAAGTAACCAGTAAGGGGCATTCAATATATCATAAACATTTGAAAACTTAACATTCGATTACACTTCATTCACATACAATTAAAACAACAAAGGGAACTCCCAGTATTCTCTAACTTCCAGGAGGATGAAGGTCTAAACTAATGGGCTTCCCTTAAAATGTACACAGAAGTGACAAGTTACTTGTCTAATCAGCAGCAGCTTTTCCAGGGTTTTTAAGCAGCTGGCTGTCAGAAGGCAACTTTCTTGCATCTTTATGGTTTGTTATAAACAAAAGGGATGTCAAAACTTCAGCGAGTTCTGTTACTTTACACACACCAGGTTTTTAGACTGCTAATAAAAAAGCACCACTTCCCCAAAAATCACAGCTTAGTATTATTATTTTAAAACAATCTTAGGAAGTTTACTTCCCCCCAGTCATACCTCCTTCATCTTTCCCGAATCAATAACAAATACAACATCACTGACTGTGATACTGGTTTCTGCAACATTAGTAGAAAGAATCTGCAGGCAGAAAAACATAACAGTAACTGTAAAAGCAAAGACTACGGAGAGCAGTATCTGAAGAAGTCATCGGATACTTGCTATTTTGCGGATGCCAGAAGGCGGAGTTTTAAGCACATTCTTCTGATCCAAAGTTTGCATATTTGAATGAAGTGTGAATACTTGGTATCTAATGCAAAACAAAGAGTAGTCTTTAAGTATATTTAAAGAAAGAAAAAACTAGAGACAATCATTGAAACTAGAGGTTTTACCTGTGTGCATTATCAACAAATCTCTTGTCATCAAAAATAATTCGGTCTCTCAAGCTAACTATCTCATCGTATCCAGGAAGAAATATTAAAATTGCTCCTAAAAGAGAGAATCCATTCACAACATTAAACCAGACACTCACTTAAAATATATAAAAATACCAGTTAGTGCCACGCATACTGCTACCCAGAAGGTCTTCCCTATTTGGTCCTACTGAAAAAATGACTCATTCAGAAGTTGAATCCACAGCAATAACATGAGACTGTGTATGTATACCTACCCCCATCAGAACTATTGCAGATGTTGTAAAGTAAGTGCATGATCAGGTCGAAATCCACCTTCTCATCATTAAAACTGTGATGATAAGCTTTCAACAACTCTCTGTCCTCTGTTCCAAGGTCATTACCATTTGCTTGGACCAGAGAACTTTCATCCAGATTTCCAAATTCCATTGAAGCACTAAAACATACAAATATACATATTCAGTTGCTTCCTTCGGGCTTGCATTCACCCATCAATTCAAGCTTAGATCAAGACTCAGAAGATTACATGTAACCAATTTTTAAGTCTACACTGCAGCAGAACCACATGTCCACAATATTACTGACTTGAGCACTACCCTGCAGAGCAGGTGAACTTCAGCTGTTAGCATTAACTTTCCTACATTTCATCAAAACATAACCATAAGCAAACCCGAGAAGAAGTATATATATGTCTTTCTTTTTAACATTTTACTTTTTTTTTTTCATCTGCTAAGGGAAAAACATTTAAAAAGAGTATTTTCCAAACACTTCCCTACCATCAGCTCCTTAGTGTTCTGGCTGCATGGTACTGGCATACAATGTTCATTTTATGTAGGTATATAATGCATCACCAACACAGAATAAAACATCATAGAAAAGCACTATTTTCATTTCAGATGCTTACTTTGGAAACATGGTACAGAATCAGTATCTCCTCCACACATGAAGGCTGCTCCAAAAGTAACGCCCCCTATTTTACTACACTGGGCAGGGTCAGAGGCAGATGTTGGCAGCAGAGGTTGAACCTTACTGCCAATATTCCATGACAGTCTTCTATGTAACAGATGGCACCAGAGGGGAAACCTGACAAAACGGTGCTTTATGCAAGGCTGTGTTGTTGAATTACTCCATGAGGAAAACAGTTTTCCTCACGACTTGCTGGACATTTGTGGAGACCAGACAGTGGGTGTTAGTAAAGTGAGGCAGAGGCAGGTGCATTTCAGCAGTGGTTACAGTGATGTGAAAAAACAAGCACAGCTGCCATACCTCAAAATGAAGAGCACTTGATCAGCTCATCCATGCAAATCAGCTAATGGTGTTGAAAAAATAGAACTGTGTAGCTGAGAACTTGCACTACCAAGTAGTGTCATTTGCTCTTCGTATCTGTTGTCATTTCCATGGAAGTAGGAGGCATAACTTTCAAAGTGACCTACGTATTTATGTAAGTTACGATGACTCGTTTCATCTAGGAATGGAAATTCCAACTACGATGACGTGGGACAACAAATGCTAATGACAGAAAGAAGTTTGTTTACCATATTTATCATAGGAGTTGCTTAAAAAAAAGAAAAAAAAAAAAAAATCACCATAATGCTACACTTCCTGTTCGTTTGTTTTTGTTTTTTTAAATATGCTTCCAAAATGTTCTGACTCCCAATCTTGTTGTTTAGGTCATATTTTAGAGTATATAAAATTAAACTGTTCTGATTAAAAGGTGGGAGACACAGATGTTTACGTACTATATTAAACAATTGTTTTAGCGAAGCCGCCATAGCTTACCTGTAAGATTCCAACAGGTCAACCACCTCTGTTTGTCCAAAGTGCTTAGCCCAGTCTAAAGCCATCCTGAAAGAGTTGTACATAGACTTCATTATTTGTCACTTCAAATCATATGTATGGGCAGCACCTTACATGAGATGACAGCTGACACACTGCGCTGTTTTCCTTTCCGCATTATTATTTAAGCAGTGCCTTCACTGATGGATCCACATCTTCCCAAATGCAAAAACATGTATAATATGTATAACAAACAGCTACATGATTTTTAAATAGCTGCAAATTGTGACCAAGTATGAATGCTACCTCTACACAGCAATCACAGAATCACTGAATGGCCCGGGTTGGAAGGGACCTCAAGGATCATCAAACTCCAACCCCCTGCCACATGCAGGGCTACCAACCTCCATGTTTAATGCTAAACCACGCTGCCCAGGGCCCCATCCAACCTGCCCTTGAACACCTCCAAGGACGGGGCATCCACAACCTCTCTGGGCAGCTGTTCCAGTACCTCACCACTCTCTGGGTAAAGAATTTCCCCCTGATGTCCAACCTAAATCTCCCCTCCCTCAACTTAAAACCATTTCCCCTCATCCTACACGTATCAACCCTTCCAAAGAGTTGATTCCCCTCCCCTCCGTAGGCTCCTTTTAAGTATTGAAAGGCTGCACTGAGGTCACCCTGCAGCCTTCTTTTCTCCAGGCTGAACAAGCCCAGCTCCCTCAGCCTGTCCTCACAGGGGAGGTGCTCCAGTCCCCTGATCAAACAGGAAGGAGTAGAATACACCACTGCTTCAAAACACAGTATCAATGCACATAACTAAGCATTTCTAAGGTATCCTTTTATTAACTCCCTTAAATAATCTTGAGAATTCATACCCCAGATGTTTTTCTCCAAAACATCTAAAAATGGCCAACTTTTTGATGCCTTATGGGAACCATTCTCTTCACAAAGCAGATCATTCTGTTTTCCCTTTAAACTTCTTTCATTCTCTACTTTTTCCCAATAACAGACAACTAGAATCCTAATTTTTACCCTTCCACACTCAATGTTTTATGGTACCCCCCAGCCCCCGGTTCCTAAACATAAACTCTTGGTCATAAAGATCTGAATTTTTAGATATTAATATGGATTTTCTTACATGCTCCAACATGCCTGCAGCCATAACACTGCAAAGACCCTTGCCCCTGTAGTATTTTTTTTTAAAACCTCTACAGGCTGTCGTCTTAAAGACTACAATAATCAAGCATTTTGAGTGTAATTAAATCTATCAAGAAAGACTACCATCTTTTCCTAATCAGAGGTTATAGCAGGTTCCTTGAAAGAGGAAACATAAACCATTTTAAAGACTGCTTCTGAATTACTTTAGAATTTATGGAAAACAATCTGATGAAACAAACTCTACATCATTATGACTATTCAATCTTACTACCACCTACAGCATTTTGATAAATCACTGAATTAAAAAGTTCTGTTACATGTCTTAAGTTCTCATGTTTATATTGGGAAATAAATCCTTCACTTCATCTGTTTGTTTTTACCAGCCATTGGATGATTTGCAGTGGACACTTGCTCCCATACTGATCAATTGCTCTACTTGACTTAGAAAGCCTCTCCCTGCAGCTATCATTAGTGCAGTTGCACTGGTTTCACTGTGCCTATAATCAACTGAGAAGTAAAACAAATTAGCAAAAACAATACACTTTTTTTCATCTGAACAAAACATGAATATGATTTTCAAGATCTAGACCAACAAGATTTTATTTCTTCCCATCCACCAGTCAATTCACATGAATTCAATATTTTTAAAATAGTATTAACCTATCTGTCAATACTTCCAAACAAGTACAGTAACAAACAAGTGAACAGTTAACGAATTGCGTAATACATTCCTTTTTCAAGTAGGCAAATAGAAAGAAAAAAATAACACTTGAAAAGTGGTAACAGAAAATCAAGTCACTATGTGATTTCTTTTTCCCTCGTGCAACAAGAGGAACAAAAGCAACTTACCACTGACGTTTTCAGTTAAGATGAAATGGAACACCTGAGCAAAGGAATCAACATCTTTATGTAACCAGATGTCAGAAAGACAAGAATCCATTTCTTTTATTAGCCATGGTTCAAGACAACTTGCATCTCTCTCAACCTGAAAAACAAGATGAAAATGATGAGTCTCTTCAAGAAGTTCTTTTGTTCTTTATTCTCACAGACGAGGTACTAAGAAATCTAGTTTTTAAACAACTAGAAATATAGAATTAAGTTATGAGCTAATGGATTTGTGGTATCTTGTGCAAGTACTTAAAACAGTACCAGACTAACCACTTTATCTAAAAAACTATTTAAAAACAACACAATGAAAGAGCATACTTTGGCTATATTTGAGAATACTTTACCCTAATTCTAAAAAAAGGAAGAAAATGTAGAACATGATAATCTTCTTCTAGAAACTCTACAGGAATAATATCAAAAGACTGTTTGGCAACGGAATGCGTTTTAAAGATCATCCAGTTCTAATACCCCAGCCACGCACAAGGCTGCCACTGACTGCATCAGGTTACCCAAAATCCCACCCAGCCCAGTCTTGAACTCCTCCAGGGATGGGGCAATACACAGCCCCAGCACTCTCCCAGTAAAGAAATTCTTCCTAATGTGTGAACTAAATCTGTCCTCCTTTAGTTTAAAGGCATTAAGCCTCGTCCTAACTCCGCACTTTTTGATAGAATCCCACCATCATCTTCCCTGTAAGCCCCCTTTAGGCACTGAGCTCTCACTGTAACCATTTCTTCTCCAGGACGAACAAGCCCAGCTCACCTAGACTGTGTTTGAAAAAGGGGTGCTTCAGCCCTCTGTTCATCTTTGTAGCTGCCTCTGGACCCATCCCAACAGGTCTTCATCCCTCCAATATCTAGCAATAACCTCAAAATCCTCACTAAACTGACGCTCTACCTAGGCAAGTTTGCTTTCCTTAGATAAGCAGGACATCTGGAGCCCAAAAACAGTCTCAACATTCCACAAGCCATGGGGAGGTCTATACAATAATCAGAAACAGATTTTTGTAAATAACTTTACTGACCAAATATGCACCTGACCTACCCTGCACACGATCGTTTTTGACCATATACCATCACCCTGTGGAACCTCACAGCCACCAAAGACCTCCTGCAGGAATCCCATATTAACACAGCACATGCGTAGTGTTCTACTTCAATACACACACCAATTCTCAGAATAGGTGGGTGCTTTGCAGAAACTGTACGAACATTCAAATGATGAATGCATATAACCTATGTAATTGCAGTTCTGTTGGCATGGTTGACTTTGCAGGCTGCAATTGAGCTTTTTTTTTGTTAATGCTGCATTTTTCTCCTACCAATACCCATACAACTGCTTCTGAAGAGCTTCTTTCAATTCAGTCTCCACCCAGCCTGTATTCATTTTTGCGATTGTCTTACCTGAAGAGCAGGACCTTGACTTTACTGCATTTCATGAGGCTGCCACGGTCTCAACTCTTGAGCCTGTCAAGATCCCTCTGGAGGGCAATGTTCACTCCAACACGTTGACTGCACCACTCAGTTTTGTCTCACCCACAAACTTACTGAGATGCACTTAGTCCCACTTTCCTTGTAACCAGCAAAGATGTGAAACACTATCAGCTCCAATACAGGCCCTTGAGGGTCAATACTCATCACTGCTCTCCACCTGGACATCAAACCATTGACTGCAACTATCTGAATTAAAAAATCCAGCCCATTTCTATTCTGAGTATCCAACCCATCAACTTCACATCTCCACATTTCAATAATGCTGCATCCCCATTACAGAAGACCATCAAGTAGCCAAATTCCATTTGCCCTTAGAGAAGACGTACTGACTGACACCTGTAATCTGTTTTCCACGTGCTATAATACAGTCTACAGAAGGATATGCTCTACAATCTTGTCAGGCACAGAGAATGAGTAGCTTGTAGTTCCACAGATCTTCCTTCATCTTTTTAATAATGGGGGTTCTATTTCTTACGTCCGGTCACTGAGAATTTCATAATGACTTCTCAAAGATGACACGCAGCAATTTCATCTGCCACCTTCCTCAGTACCCCAGACGCACTTCACCAAATACCACAGACTTCTGCACACACAGAATTCTTAGGCGGCCCCAAACCACCTAAGCACTTTCTTTTCCCAATATCGTCAGAAACAAGTTTCTAAAAGATTTACCACATAAACCTAAAACATTTCTTCCAACACAGAAAAAACTTACCAGAGCATTAAAAACTGTGTCACCACTGCTGTCCAGCAGATTATACTCTTCAGATACACTTGCAACAGATTTTCTGCTCCGTGATTCTGGGTTGCTACTACTTTCTTGAGCAGAACACCACTCAGTGAGAGTGCTTTGCTGCTTTTCTTCTAGAAGGTGTACAACGTTATCAAAACAGTATCAGAATCACTTTTAATCATCTGTTGCTTTCAGCTACAAAAATCGTTAAATCAAACCACAGGCTTACCTATAGCATTCTCTTTTATCCAACCAAGAATGCTGACACCAATCCAATATAAGTTCTATGATTAATGGCACACAAAGTGCATGACTGCAAATGTCTGCTCTAAGAGTAAGGTGAAAAATATCATTTGGATGCTACTAACAGGGACTGTTTCTGTTCAAGATGTACAAAATCCTGCACTGTGGATGGACGGCTGCCTGCAATTCAATTTGTACCCAGTGTCAAAACATCGTATCATCTTGTTCTGTATTTTTCATGGAGGCAACAATTACATGCAAATCTACACCATCATATTAGCAAAACATTTACAAAACGAAAGCAAAAAGCATACCCCGTTGAAAGGCTTTTTAACTGAACAATCAGCTTCAATAATGTCAACATTGCAAGTTTAGAGATACTTGCTGGTATCTAATCATAGTATTACATAGTATATATTAAAGACAACAGAATCATCCGATTCCACTGTTCTCGATGCTCAATAGGCCTCAGTACCCACTCTTACAATTAAGAAGTATACCAACCTCGCTGCTTCTCCTTTCTGTATTTTATCATCTCTTTGTTTGTGTACCCAGTGCTTCGTAGAATGTCCTCCAAAAACATCTCTTTAACTTCAAATGGTCTTCCTTGGACTGCAAGCACAAATAACTAATGAAATTAGATATCCCCTAGTTTGACCGAAAATCTCCATTAAAAAAAGACTCTCTGTAAATATTAAAAAAAAAAATCAATTAAGAAATTAAAAGCAGAAACTTTAAGGAGTTATTACTTTCCTTGAAAAAAATCCTTGAAGAATACCTGAGAGTTTGCTTTCTCAACACTGCTGAGCCGCAAAACAAAATAAGATTAAGAAGGGAAATCTCAGTGAAAAACAACATGTATCACTAAACTCTTCAATGCTCTCGGAGCATTCTGGAAAGGGATCTACATGTCTGACAGAATATTCATCAAAGTTCTATCAAAATGACAAAGAAAACTAGTATTTTTGTTGTAAGATTATCACCTGGATTACCAACATAATAATAACATTGTTTTAATGCAATACTCTGTAAGAAGTTTGTCACTTTGTGTACAAATGCTTTGCTCAAGACACATACACAGCTTTTCAGTTTCTTCAGTTACCTCAGCCCTTCTTTGCTGAGTAAGGCCTGACCAGCCAGGCAATCCAAACTGTCTTTGTCTCCTGAGAACCAACCCCTATTTCTTTTTCAATATCACTGTTTTCTAAGCCGTTCTAAAAGGCATGACAGGGTCCCTTTTCACAAGAAAAAAATTCTCTAGATTCCTGGTCCTTTAGCTAGACATTTGCCATAGCTGAGTTTAAATTACTCAGAACCTCTCCCTCCTTCAGGAATAACTGTATGTACTTACGTATAATACAAGGACTTTATTGTTGAAAAATCAAAAGAAGCAGGTCACTCATGCAGAAGGCCTGCAAGCCAGGAATGTGGAAAAACATGGAAAAAACCCACATCTCCCACACCTTACCTTTACTAAAAATCCATCAAATCAGCTATTAAAATAAAGGTAACTTTTCTACACTTGAATGTAATCTAACTACAGATTACCAAACCCAAACATAAACTATCACATCTTTTCTCAAATTTTACCAGGACTAACAGTTGACAATTGCCTTTGAAATCATGTGATCAAAACAGGAGAAAAACAAACTGCCTAGGTCTGCATTTTTGAAGTGACTAGGTACAGGCATCTGTGCTTTAGCCAGTAACAAACACCCATCTATGAAGCCTGAAAAACTAGAACTTGTTGGAATTAGTTGAAGTGTATTGTACTCTTGCAGCCCTCAAGGACTTTCTCATCCTGCAGATCAGTACATTAAGAACTTCTCCTTTTCTTGAGCTGACTGTCAGGAGACAAGGCATCTCTGCACTTACACTGCTTCCAGCAACAAAATACCTCATTCTGAAATAGTTGCAAACAGATGTTAAAAAAAAAAAAAAAAAAAAAAAAAAGCAACAGTAAACTTAAAAAAAGCAAAAATAACAAGCATTTTCTGATTCTCACTCAGTGTCCATGTTACCTCGTCCAGATCAACAGCACTGACAGCGGTATACAGGTATATTCAGATCCAGGAGTTCACAAATACTTACTGTGTATTACTGGGCAACTTCCAAAATACTCAATAAAGAGATTCGCATCTAGAGCAGCACTAGAAATGATTAGTTTTAAATTAGTCTGGTTTTGCAATATATCTCGCAGTTTTATTAACAAGAAATCACTGAATCGATCCCTCTCATGTACTTCATCCTAAAACAAAAGGCAAAAAGAAACCAGTAGATAAACATTCACAAACAGGAATTTTAAAACTACAATTTATCGTTCGTAGGTTCACTGAAGATGCATTAAAAAGTAGAATTCTAACCCAGTTCAACCAAGCGCTTTTTAAGAAGAAAGTATTCGAGTAAAAAACTTCCTCAAAGCTTCACAAAAATACTGGAGCAGGCTGTGCTGTTAATGAACAAGGAAGAGATAACTTCATTTCAGAGGCTGAATGACCCGAGATGATCTTAAAGGTTGCTTCCAACTCAGACCCTTCTATGATTCTATGAAGTGCATTTCTGAAACTTTACTAATTCTCCTGAAGAATTATCATCTCTGAGATACTGACAAGAACCACAGTTCCCACAAATCTTATTTTCATCAACTCTTCAAAGTTGAAGCACTTAAACCAATATAGTATCACATAATAAGAAAATAAATCTGGTTGCTTAGGTCCATTAAGTCACGTACAAAGCTTAACATAAGTTAAGGCATTTGGTTGGTAATAATTGATTACAGCAATTATTTACTTGGTGAGTTTTGTTTTCTCACACATCAAGAATTTATCAGACAGGAAGCCAAGAACTTTTTAAGGTGAAAGCAAGAACATGAAACAGCCTTTTACTTCAGTAGACAGGTGAGCAGATACAATTATTTTGATGTTTATGTTTTCAGCAGTGGAGCAATTGTTCAAGGTGATTACATACTCTGATTCCACTGAGTTCTCAGTCCCCATGACAGAAATAACACTACGCCTCATTTTGAAAACCTCTGTGTTAACAAGTGGATGCTGAACTGGTACTGCAAAAATAAGTACACGATACAAGAAATTCTGACAGATGCACAATGAGTCACATACACAAATGCCTGCAGCTTCTCTATTGTATGACAAAAAAACCCTACAGAAATGTTTAGACACCTGTCCTTCACAACATCATCCTAGAACTAAATGCTATAATTAGCACAAAAATAAGATACTTTAACCAAAAAAGTACACATTCCAAGAGAAAAAAAATCAGTACGTACAGGAAAAAAAAAAACAGATTCTGCCCAAAGAAAAACACTTCATATGCTTAATTAGGAAAACCAATTTCAAAAGCAATACGTATCGCTTCACCTTACATGAAATTTAACAGGATTCTTACCACAATAACATGTGTTACTGTTGATAGAGCACTGTCTCCTGCCATCAGCATGCGAAGCAGTATGCCATTTGTGCAAAACGTTAACAGTGTCCTTGGAGAAACCCTATTGAACAGTTCATGAAGATGCTTCAGACTTGCAGCATTCAAACACACGCACGTTACCTTTTCCACACGTATGAAAAACTAAAGGATTGATCAGCTACTCACCAGAACTGGAATTAGATTACAGTTACTCACCAAGTAATTCAACAACACTGTGTGTTCTCAAACTGCCCTTATTCGCAGAGAACACCACAGAATTCTAGTGCTTACATTCCAAAACTTCAGATGCAGGATTCATGTTTAAATAAATTCATCAGCAAATAAAAATTACCCCAAAATACTGTAGCTTTAACATACATGTGAAAACAAGGTCAGCTGCCTTAAAGGAAATGTTGTTAGTACCTGCTTTCTAATAGGAGCTGATAGCCAACTGTCTGGCCAACCTTTTCCCTTCTTTCTGCTGCTACTCTTTCAGCCACAGCAATAACTGCCAAACGTCTTGGCTGAGTGCAAAACATACGACAGGGAATTCCATTTTCGTAGCAGTCATCAAGAAGGAACTGAGGAATCTATAAAAAAGGGTTTCAAAATACTTGTTAGCTGCATGAAGCAATAGGTGTTGAGGTTTTTCTTCTTAAATAGTGAAGCAACTTAATTCTATCTCAATATTATACAAATAGCAAAACTGTAAATTTACAATATTCTACTCTTGAGACTAAATACAGAACTGGCTTTAGAAGAAAAACAACTAAACACAATAACAGATCCATTATTTTAAATAACATAAATTAGGCCAGGGAAAAGCTAGAATTTCATCAGAAAATTATGCAGAACCTTATATTTTCAATAACTATCTGCTGACTTGCTGTTGTAATTCACTCCCATGCATTTCAAATACAACACCTCACTCTACAGGAAAACAACAGTCTAAAAATTAGCAAAATTAAGTCCCTTATTACATAAACATCTTCTAAAATCGCATTAGTTTCACATCAACACTGACATCTTTTACTTTAATAAAAAGCATACTTGAGTGGTTTTTCCTGATCCAGTCTCTCCTACAATGAGAACAACTTTATTTTCCTTTATTATTTTGACAATTTCCTCCTTCTTTTCAAAAACTGGCAATGACTGCCTAAAGGAGTCATATTCCGACTCCCCTCTTTTCAGCGGGACTTGAGGAATACCACTGCTAAGCCTTCCGCTCGTCTTCCCAACTTCTTTGTTTTCTGTGGAGAGAACAGGACAACTTAGCCATAGATACAAAGGAACTGCTACACACGCAATATCACTTAGCTATCACAGAAATGAACATTTCTGACTTGGCACGCATCCTCCCATGAAGCGAGGAACCCATCGCATATTTACAAGAAATATTCATAATACTGTGTTCTGCTATGGTGTTTGAAACAGATACCGTTCAAAGGAATTACAACTTCCAAACACATTTTGAACAAATCCAGACTTATTTTCTTGGCTTTTGATCACATCTACACTCCACAGTTTGCCTAGAAATATTCACTGTAGACTTAAATGAACAGAACTCTTAAGAAACCCCAACTGGAAAATGGGAGTTTTCTCAGTATAGCTATAGGGGATTCTCTTGCAATCCTGCATCCAGTCTTCTCCGCGGCCTTTATCAATGACCTGGAAAAGGGATAAAATGCAGCCTGAGCAAGACTGATGATACTACGTTGGGAAGCGTGACTGACACACCAGAAGGCTGTGCTGCCATTCAGTGAGACCTGGATGGGCTGAAAAGTTGGGCAGAAAGGAACCTTATGAAGTTCAACGTGGGCAAGCAAAGAGTGCTATAGCTGGGGGGGGGTGTAACTGTATGTATAATCAGGAGCTGAAATGCTGGAAGGGAGTTCTGCAAAGGACACGGATGTCCTGGTGGACAACAGGCCAACGGTGAGCCAGAAGAGTGTCCCTGTGGCAAAGAAGGCCAATGGTAGCATGGGGCGGATTAAAAAGAGGGGTGATTTACAAGTGGCGTTGGACTACATGATCTCCAGAGGTCCCTTCCTACTCCTCACAGGTTTGTTAACAAGTTCAGAGGGGAAAAAAAAACTTGACTGTGATTCACATCCACTCCTCCACATTCTCTGTGCCTTGTATTACCTCATTCAAGTCAGTCTTATTTTACATGACGTTCTAGTCAGTAAGACTGATCTAGACCCCCACGCGTAGACAGCACACTACCACTTAATAGAAAGCAAGACTTAAGCATTCATAGCAGCTGCAACTCTTCAGAGCTACTTCAAATTCTAAAATTCCTTTTTTTTTTTTTTTGTTCCAGAAGAATTAAAAGCTTGTTGTAAATTCAATGACATATTCATAACACGATTAACAGACATACATACTTAATTGCAAGAAGTATTGCCTTACCAAGACAGACATAGCCTCACAGTTCAAAAGACCTGAATACCCAAATAGCTAACCTGCTGGGAAACTGAAACATCATATAAAGAGAACTAGAAGAGGAAGCACTCTGAGCACAAACCAGTGAAAAAGAGAATAACGGAAGACCTGTTTTCTGTGCACTGCACCCATCTTTGTGCACAGAAACATAACAAAACCTTCATGTAAGGCCGTTAAGGCAAACATCTTATTCAAAGATTCTCTTTAATGACAGAAAACATCAGAAGTATGCCTTCTGACAAACTCTTTCATGTTCTGGAAATCAACAAGTCTGAACAGTAAATTCTGAGGCATCACGTCTACTGCCAGAAGACAAAACAAAACAGAATTTCTCATTTTATCAAAAACAGGACTTTCCACAAGCAGAACAAACAGCCTTACATTCACACAGGCTGTTCTTATACAGTGACCTTGATAGCATTTCTCTCTTCAGCTCCACTTCACAGAACATGCAGGAGCTCCCACATACGAAAAATGTCCTTTCAAGTACATCTGTGTTGAACTGGCTAGATTCAAAAGTAACTTAGCACAGGCAAGACATTCAAGTATGAGTGGCATTAATGCCCAAGTTACACTTCCTCATGAAACCAGTTTGAAAACATGCCACATTAAGAATTAAGGGTGAAAAAAACTTTTTGTGTGCAGTTTGGTTGTGGTGTTTGTTATCTGTTGTGGTTGTTTGTTTTCCGTAAGCAGTATTGATGCTCAAATCACATACAGCACGTACCAGTTTCAACAGCAAATGCATTTCCTCGCTGCTTCTTTGGCAGAAGTTCTATTCGTTCTTTCTTTGTGAGAGGAAATCTTTGAATTAAACTGTGAACAGCCTGTTTCGTTCTGGGAGTCAAACAACAAGTCATTTCTGCATGAGCTACTTGCGATCCATTCTTTTTCCTGACAGTTAGGTATCGACTCGATCCTTTCCTGAGAGAGAAAAAGTTCTAAATAAGTAATCTCTTCAATTCTTTGTAAAGATCTTTGACTGAAAGTGTTTCAAAACAGCTCTCAGATTAGTTTCAAATAAAACACAATAAACAAATGTCCAAATAGCATCTTACGCATAACACTTCTAAGAAAAGGGCTTTCAGTATGCAACAGCAAAACCACTCACTATTACCATAAGACAGCATGACATACTGCATAACTGGGGTGCCTGTGCTCAGCACAACCTCACAGTCTCATAACGTCATACTGTTTTGCTAACTTCCTTTTAAACACTGACTGCTATGTTCACAGTCTATAAGATAGCAAGCCCCATCAATCACTGTATCAATCAATACTGAGAGATATTATACAGAATTGATTTACAGAAACATGTAAGAGACAAAAAAAAAAAATCACTGAGTAGAAGTAACAGAAAAACAAGCAGCCCTCTATGAATATGCCAAGCCTTAAACAAATCCAGAAACATACTTTCTAAAGTAACTTCATATCCAGCAAACCTAAAAGACATCTGCAGAGATTTCAAACTGACGGCAAGTTAAACCCCATCACACTTCACTCACTCTCACTGTTCAAAACAACAAGAGGGATGGGTTGGAATTAAGGGCAGTTTAATTACAAAAAATGAAAAGCCAAGATATGCAACCTGCAGTTGAACTGCGCGAAGCCAACTCAGAATCATTTGAAGCATCAAGGTTGGAAAAGACTTCCAAGATCATACAGTCCAACTGCCCATCTATCACCAAGATTTCCCACTAAGTCGTGCCCTCCGGTACAACAGCCAAATGTTTCCTCAACAACTCCACGACTGACGACTTCACCACCTCTTTGGGCAGTCCAGCCCCATGCCTGACCACGCTTTCAGAAAGGTTTTCCCCACAGCCAAACTGAATCCCCCTAGAACAACTTCAGGCCATTCCCTCTAGTCCTGTCATCAGTTACATAGGAGAACAGGACAACTTCCACCTCAACACAACCTCCCTTCAATTCTTATAGAGAGCAATAATGCCTCTCCCGAACCTTCTCTTCCCCAGACTGAACAGTTCCAGCTCCTTCAGACACTCCTCATAAGAGTTGTGCTCCAGACCCCTCACCAGCTTCACTCTTCTTCTCTGAACACACTCCAGGGGCCTCAAGGTTTTTCTTGCAGTGAGGGGTCCAAAAATGAACACAAGGTACGGCATCGCCAGCGCTGATTACAGAGGGATGATCCCTTCCCTGCTCCACTGTTGGCAACACTACTTCTGATACAAGCCAGGATGCCATTGGCTTCTTTGCCCATCTGCGCACACTGCTGGCTCAAGTTCAGCAAAGTGTCAACCAATACCCTCAGGTCCCTTTCCTCTACACAGTCTCCCAACAACTCTGCCCCAAGTCTGCACCGCTGTCTGCAGAACCCAGCACTTGGTCTTGTACTTCAGCCCATCGACTTCAGCCCAGCTGTCCAGGTCCCTCTGTAGGCCATTCCTACCCCCAGGCAGATCAACGCTTCCTCTCAACCTGCTGTCATCTGCAAACCTACTGAGCGTGCATTCAGGGCCCTCAGCCAGGTCACCAATAATGACACAAAATACCAACCCCCTGCTAACGCTCACGACTGGTCACCAGCTGAATTTAACTCCATTCACCACCACTCTGTGACATCAGCCATCCAGCAAACAGCGTACCTGGACAGACCATGAGCTGCCAGCTTCTCCAGAAGAATACTGAGGGAGACCATACCAAATGCTTCGATGAAGCCTAGGCAGACTACATCAATAGCCTTCCTCTCATCCACCAGGTAGGTCGCTCAATCACAGAAAGAGATCGGATTGGTCAAGCAGGACCTGCCTTTCAGGAACCCATGATGGCTAAGCATGATCCCCGGGCTGTCCCACACGTGCTGTGCAGTCCCTGTGTGATCTGCTCCATAACCTTTCCTGGCACAGAGGTCAGGCTGATAAGCCTGTACTTTCCCGGATCCTCCTTATGACCCTTCTTGTACGTGGGAGTCACGCTGGCACGCCTCCAGTCCTCTGGAGCATCTCCTGTAGGCCAGGAATGCTGTCAGATGATGGAAAGTGGCTTGGTTGTCATCTCTGCCAGCTCCCTCAGCACCCTCGCATGAATCCCATCCAGCCTCATGGACTTGCAACAGTCCAGGTGGGACAGCTGGTCTCTAGTTGTTTCCACCTGAATTGTGGACACTTTATCCTGCTCCTCATCTGAGACTCCCAGGTCAGAAGGCAGAGCACCACGAGGATAATTGGTCTGACTCTAATAACATATGTAAAGAAGACACTGAGAACCTCAGTCTTTTCCTTTTCTTCAATGCTCACAAATCCCTGCTGCATCCACTAAACGACGGAGATTCTCCTTAGCCCCCTCTTACTGTCAATGTACTTGTGGAAAAAAGTTTTTTGTTCTCCTTTACCCCAGCAGCCAAGTTGAGTTCAAGCTGGGCTTTTGCCTTTCTACTTCTCTCGCTGCACATCCTAACAACGTCTTTGTTCTCTCATAGAGTTGTCCTTCTTTTTCTTCTGCAGGGGGTAGATTCTCTTTTTCTCCTGGAGCTTCAGGAAAAGCTCCCTGTTCATCCATGCTTGCCTTCTTCCCCACTGGTTCATCTTGTGGCAATGGCAGCCTGCTCCTGCACCTTCAAGATTTCCTTCTTGAAGAGCAGCCAACCTACACAGACCCCTTCACCCTTCGGGACTGAATCCCAAGCATCCCTTTCTATCAGTACCCTGAACAGTTCCAAGTTCACCCTCTGGAAGTCCAAGGCAGCAGTTCTACTGGTCCCTCTCCTGGCTTCACCAAGAATCAACATCTCTACCATTTTAAGGTCATTCTGCACAAGACACCTACCAACCTCCGCATCTTCCACCACTCATTGTCTCTTTGCAAACAGCAGGTCTAGCGTGACGCATCCCCTTTTACACTTTCTTACCAGCTCCATCAGGAAATATCGCTCATGAAAATACTGCTAAAAATAACAATGTTAAATGTTTACAATCACATAGGGCCACATTACTAGCTGTCCCGGGCCACAAGCACCCCACACGTTGAACAGACCTCACTTAGGACATCTCTATCCTCTGATCATCCTTACTTCCCACATAAAGATTTACCTTTTTCTTCACCGTTGTTCCCTGCCTGTTAACTAATACACGCATACAATATTCCCATTCAGTGGGCCTCTCTCAAAATGTCCGCAGAACTAGCAATGACTCAGGCCTCGTCCATCAACATACTGCCTCAGCAGCAACAGCGCATTGGATTTCTAAATGTCAACACCAGCTTAACTTAACTCATTGCTACACCCACCTGGTTCCCTGCAAAGTCACCAGCTCTTGTCACCAGCTCTTCAGTGCCTTCCTACAACACCTAACTCAGAAAACACATTTGTTTCTCTCAAGGCTCCATGACGCACACATCTCATGTCCCCATCCTTCCACATCATCCACCAAGGGAAGCAAAAGCAAAGACAGTGCCCCAAAAGGGTTTGCCTTTTCACAAGGCAGGAGCAACCTGCCTTCCCCAGCCCCTTCCACAAGATGACTTCATCGCCTCCCACATGCATGGTGCCTTTGCTGGAGCAGGGACAAGGCAATTCTCAGTCCTTTTGCCCACCACAAGTCTGCCAGTTGGAGAGAGCCTTTGTAATCTGCTAGTGCAATCCCACAGCAGCACTGCCCAATCCTGCTCTAGTCACAGGCGTCGAGCAGAACACCACATGGGCTGCCACAGGGAAAGTTACCTCTACCCCGCACAGATCCAGTCCTTCTCTTAATTGCCTCTGTACAGATACCCAGAACACAGTCATATGTAAACAGATATCTTACTACTGTACTGGGTTTACGCAGCTAGGTTTTGGCAGCAGGGGGCTTCTGTGAGCAGAACCAGCAGCTGTGCCAAGTCAGATCAGAGCCAGCTCCAGAGCCGAGCCATGACTGCTGCTGACTGTGCTCTGGGACAGGGGATTACACAGAAGGAAAACTGCTGCACAACAGCAGCTGGGAGAGAGCGAGAAATCTAAGAGAAACAGCCCCAAAGGTACCAAGGTCAGTGCAGGAGGGGCTCCAGGCCCTGAACAAGCCCATGGCCGAGCAGTGCTTGAGGAGCTGCAGCCTGGCGGAAGGCCACCCAGGACCAATTCAGGAAGGATGGCATCCCATGGGAGGAACCCCATGTGGAGCAGGAGCAGCAAGCAACCATGGAGGAACGGCGGAGACAAAGCAGCCTTCATTCTCTATTCACATGATTTGCTCGAGCGGAGGAGGAAGAAGAATTGAAACCAACACTGAAGTTGAGTCAGGGAAGAATAACGTGCAGGAAAAGGATTTTCAGTTTTAGTTTTCCCTTTCTTACTCTCTCACTAATTAGAAATAAGTTAATCTTGCACAAGTTAAGTCTGCTCTCCCTGACGCAGCTCCAAAAATCAGCATTTTACACACCATTAAGAAGGATCAGGCAGTAACACCGAAAATAAGAAACAGCCAGCAATACTACGGTTTGACGGCAGCTTGCACATACAGATGTCAGGTATGACATGACACTTCCTCTACCCAGGTTCTTCCTGGGCATCTTTCCCTTTTCCATTGCTTTTCCACCTTAGTTTCCTCGGCCACTGGATTCTCAGCACTTACATATAAGTTCATGTGGTCAATAAATATCAATTTCTTCTTCAAAAGATCACAGGAAGGCAAAATGAAAGGGGGGAAAATGCCACATATTGACACCTGCCTATGAGCCCTTTCCTCTCTTCTGGAAGACTGTTCTATGCTGCATTTTATCCAACACGTAGTCACGCACTATCTAAAACTCTCGGACGTAACAGTGGCACAGGTAACACAGAGCAGTCCTGCGTGAGAACTTTACAAACTCCACAAGACAAGCCACCTCAAAAAAAGCATGCCAGGAGCTTTGATAACTTAGTGCAAATAAACATCCCATATTTCCTCCAGGCTTACTGTGCCCTGTAACAATGCAGGATACACTAGATTAGGTGCAGCATTTTACAGTTAAGTTTCCACACATTTGCAGCAAACAAGACTGGATGCCAACTCACCCTTTACTTTTAGATATCAAACCAAGAGACTGGCACAACCGGTGAACATAGGCTCTTTCGGTAGAAGTAAAAGACGAAGGAAACGCCATCTCTGCAAAGATAACGAAGAAAACAAACGTAGCACCTACACCACACTACCTCGAAGGCGCGAGTTCTCAGAGCCCCTCATCTTTACGTCCTCCCGCCGCAGGACGGCGGCAACTCGAGACACCGCACCCGCGCAGACGCGAACCAATGCTGCCGCCCGCAGGCTTGGGCCCGCGCCCCGCGGACACGACACCTCCACCAGAACCCCACCTTGATCATCGCTGCACAAGAACCGCTCCAGCGCCAGGTCCAACGCGATCTCCAGTTCCTCGGAGACGCGGGCATCCGCCAACGTCTTGCCGCGGCCCGACGCGGAGGAGGAAGCGGCCGAGCGTGCAGACGCGAAGGCAGAGGCGTACCCTGCGGCCCCGTCGTGCTGCTGCGGGGAGGCGCTCCTGGGAGAGGACATGGCTCGCTGCGGAGAGAGAGACCCAGGCAGTCAGTGGGAACTGACACGACGCAAACGCCGGCGACGACCACAAAATAACACGCATCCGAGCCGCCGGCAACGGCTAAACCAGCGCCTGCGCGCCGGAGTCGGGCAGCGTCGTTCCGTCAGCGCGCGAGGCGGGGCGCGAGTAAGGAGCCGTAGCGCCCCGCCTCTCGCCCGCAGGCCGTGCTGGGCGGGGGGCGCGTCTGGTCTTTAGCGTCCCCAGGGCCTTGGCCGGTAGGGGTCGGCTGCTTTGTCTTTGTTCCCTTCCTGAAGAGCCTCTCCCAGGTCGTAGAAAGGCCGCCACACGGCTGCGGGTGGCTTTTGTCTCGGCCTTTCGTAGCGCTAGCACTGGAAGCTTTTTGACAGAAGGAGTAGAATCACTGAAATGTTCCTTCAGGAGTAAAGGGGTGCCGGTATGAGGGGCGGGAGTTTTAGTACTATTATTGTCAGCACTGATACTTCACTGAGACTGCCAGGGTAACCCACCTTGCTAAACTGGGAAAGAGCACAAAAGAGGGCCTTGCTGTTATCTTGAATACAGTTAGCAGTGCGGTGTGCCCACGCAGGCATCTGTGAAGATGCCTAAGTATTGGTTATGGGTTAGAAGCATAGAATTCTAGAATCAAAGAGTAACCCAAGTTGGAAGGGACCTGTAAGGATCACCAAAGTCAACTCCTCGCTCCATGCTGGACCACCCAAAATTCACAGTCTGACTGCGTGGATCAAGCACTTCCTGAACTCTGGCAGCTAAGGGCAATGCCCGCTGTCCCAGGCAGCCTGCTCCATGCCCACTGCCCTCTAGTGAAGAACCTTTCCCTAACATAGAATCATGGAATCACAAGGTTGGAAAGGACCTACAAGATCACCTAGTCCAACCATCCTCCCATTACCATTGCTACCACAAGCTACTAAACCACATCTCGCAGCTCCTCACCCAGACGCCTCTTGAACGCTGCCGGTGATGGCGACTCCACCACCTCCCTGGGCAGCCATTCCAGTGCCTGACCACTCTCTGAGAGAAAAAGATTTTCCTTATGTCTAATCTAAATCTCCTCTGGCGCAACTTGTGGCCATTTCCTCAGGTCCTGTTTGTTGCCTGGAAGAAGAGGCCAGACCCCACCTCATCACAGCCTCCCTTCAGGAAGATGTAGAGTGCAATGAGGTCTCCCCTGAGCCTCCTCTTCTCCAGACTGAACAAGCCCAGCTCCTTCAGCCGCTCCTCATAAGATTTGTGCTCCAGACCCCTCACCAGTTTCTTCGCCCTTCTCTGGACACGTTCCAGGGCCTCAATGTCTTTCTTGTAGTGAGGGGCCCAAAACTGAACACAATACTCGAGGTGCGGCCTCACCAGTGCTGAGTACAGGGGATGATCACCTCTCTGCTCCTGCTGGCCACACTGTTTCTAATGCAGGCCAGGATGCCGTTGGCCCTCTTGGCCACCTGGGCACACTGTTGGCTCATGTTCAGCCAAGCATCAACCAGCACCACCAGGTCCCTTTCCTCTTCACAGTCATCCAGCCACTCTGCCCCAAGCCTATAGCGCTACATGGGGTTGTTGTGGCCAAAGTGCAGGACCCGACACTTGGTCTTGCTGAACCTCATCCCATTCACCTCAGCCCAGCATTCCAGCTTATCTAGATCCCTCTGAAGGGCCTTCCTACCCTTAGGCAGATCGACACCACCTCCCAGCTTGGTGTCATCTGCAAACTTACTGAGGGTACGCTCAATCTCTTCATCTAGGTCATCAGTAAAGATATCAATCAAGATGGGCCCCAGTACCGACTCCTGGGGGACACCACTTGTAACGGGTCACCAGCTGGACTTAACTCCATTAACCACTGCTCGTTGAGCATGGCCCTCTAGCCAGTTCCTTACCCAAAGAAGGGTAACCTGTCCAGGCCCATGGCAGCCAGTTTCCCCGGGAGAAGCCTGTGGGAGACTGTGTCAAAGGCTTTGCTGAAGTGTAGGTAGGCAACATCTTCAGCCTTTCCCTTGTCTACCAGTCTGGTCACCCAGTTGTAGAAGCTTGGTCAAGCATGACCTACCTTTGATGAATGCATGCTGGCTGGGCCTGATCCCCTGGATGCCACACGCGTGCCATGTGATCTCATCCAAGATGATGTGCTCCATAACTTTCCCTGGTACTGAGGTCAGGCTGACAGGCATGTAGTTCCCCAGATCCTCCTTACTGCCCTTCCTGTAGATGGGAGTCAATCCTCTGGGACCTCTCCAGATAATCAGGGGTGCTGGTAGATGGTGGAGAGTGGCTCTGCAGTCACCCCCGCCAACTCCCTCAGCACTCTAGGCTGGAGCCCCGTCCGATCCCCAGGGCTTGTGACAGTTCAGATGGAGGAGGAGCTCTCTAACTGTCTAACCGGGGTGTATTCTGTGTAGCATCCCAGGCTTCCAGATCAGGGCTGAAGTGCCCTGAGGATAACTGATCTGCCTATCAAAGGCAGATGTAAAGAAGGCATTGAGGACCTCAGCCTTCTCAACATCCTCCCTGCCCCTCCCCTGACCCAGCTCCATGCCCTTCTCTCAGGCCCTGTTGCTGTCACAGGGAGCAGAGCTCAGCGCAGCCCCTCTGCTCCATGTGAGGAGCTGCAGCTACCATCACGCTACCTCAGCTCCTCTGCTCTGGGCTGAACAAACCAGGGGACTTCAGCTGCTCCCATAATACGTCTTTCCTTTCAGACTTTTCACCATTTCTGTAGCACTCCTTTGGACTCTCTAAGAGTCTTGGTCTTTATATTGTGGCACCCATATGTGCACTCAGTGCTCAAGGTAAGACTGTACCAGTGCAGTGTAGAGTGGGACTATCTTTTCCCTCAACTAGCTAGCAATGACACCCATGTTTGATGCAGCTGACATACTAACTGGCAGGGCACACTGTTGAATCATGTTCAAGTTGCTGTCAAAATAGACCCCAGATCCTTTTCAGTGTGGCTGCTCCCCAGTTTGTACATACAGCCAGGATTTCCTCATCCCAGGTACAGAATCTGGCACTTCTTGTTGTTAAATTTCAGACGGTTGATGATTTCCCAGCTCTCTAATTTGTCTTGATCTCTCTACAAAGCCTCTCCACCCTCAACAGAGTCAACAGCTTTTCATTCATTATTATCAGCAAACTTGCTTAGAACACCTTCTAGTCATAGAACCATAGAATCAAAGTGTAATTTGGGTGGGAAGGGACATTCAAGATCATCTAGTTCCAACTCCCCTGCTACACGCCAAGACACCTACCTCTAGACAAGGTTGCTCAAAGTCCCATCCAGCCTGGCCTTGAACGCTTCCAGGGAGGAGCATTCACAACCACTCTGGGCAACTGTTTCAGTGTCTCACCACCCTCACAGTAAAGAATTTCTTCCTAATACCTAATCTAAATCTATCCTCTTTCCGTTTAAAACTATTTTGTTTGTCCTGTCACTACACACCTATATAAAAAGTCCCTCCCCAGCTTTTTTTATTTGGAAATATTTGTTTCCATCTGCCTACTTCCAGTCTCTCCTGAAATAATGTTTGAAATTCTTTATGAGTTTTCACTAAAACTGAAAGAAGGGGTAAAAATCTCAGATGCCAAATTCCACAAAGTTTAATGAAGGTGGGCATCAGAGTAGGAGGTAGAAATCCTATTCGTATTCAGTTGAATAGGAAGCCTGTATCTTGAACTCAGTCCTTACTGGATAATGGAGAGACTTATAAAAACATAGATCAAGGAGAAATTTTGATCAAAGTATGTGTCTGGTAGACTCTAAAAAATGCAACTAATCATGCACCTCTCTAACAGATTCGTGGAAACGATGTTTTTATTCATTGCCATACTTTTACATGTTACAAATTTTTTTTCTCTGCTCTTGTTCACTGCCGAAACATATCGTCACAAGTGGTTTCAGGACAAGGATTGTGGGAGATTTCAGAGACAGGGCAATATCATTTGGTGATATTCAAGATTATTGGCTATAATGTAAACAAGAAGGTGACAAGCCTTTGCAGTCTTTGTCCTTGAAGTTGCTCACTCAACCACTTACATGTAGTAGCGTTGAATGATTTAGTTCACCTTATACATGCACAGAAACTGTATCTGCCTGCCAAAACTAAATTGCTGTTCTGACTCAAGACCTGGGAACCACAGGAGTTCCAGAAACAATCCTTACATGTTTCTTGTTCATCTCTTCTTTCTGAATCATCTGTCGTCAGTTAAGTTTCATTTCATTTAGGTTCCGAAACATTAGTTTACTTTGATTTTTTTTTCTCAATAAAATACAACAACAGTATGTATGTAGAAAATAAAGTTCCACTTTTCTATTATACTGAGTATACTGAAGATTTAGCATTGACCTCAGTTGCATTGACTGGAGGCACAAAAAAAGGTATTATCATAAAAAGCAGTGGAGTTGTATTACCACAATGCCACATTTGAACTAACTCAGGCCATGCCAAGATTCAGTGCTACAGTGACACAGCTTCTGTTGCAAGAGCTAAAGTCACTCAGTTCCTGACAAACAGATTTTTACAGTCTGAAGGGAATCTACAGTAAAACACATGCCAACCAACCAACTAACCAACAAAAAACATTCAGAGTTTCTCTACACAGAAAGAAAAGTTGAAATAATTACTCTTTGTTTGTTTGTTTGTTTGTTTGTTTGTTTTTTAATCCTAGGGAAGTCACTCTGAACCATTAACAACTTCTATGAGCCTGCAGCAGGCAGCCTTCTTTCTCCGATTAATATGTTGAGTTGTTTATCAACGTCTCCTATTTCGATTCCAGAAGAAAAAATGTGTTCAACCACATTTTGTTTGTTTTGCTGTTCCCCCCCCCAAAAAAAACCATAAAAAA